CAGATGTGTCCAAAAAAGAAACTACATTGTACTTGTAACACTGCTTTCTAGAGGTAACCACTGAAATATGGGTACACTTCCTTTCAGTCATTGTTTTCCACGTTATGCACATCATGAGTTGGAGCTTTGGAGCTTCCTGATCTGCGGCTGATGAGTGGTACAGCAACCTCTCTGCGCTTCAGTTTTCCCATCTCTGAAAAGGAGCTTAGAAAACATTCCCTAGGCCAGGCACGGTGGCTCATGCCTGCAATCCCAGCACTCTGGGAAGCCGAGGTAGGAGAATGGCTTTAGCTCAGGAGTTTGAGACCAGCCTGGGCAACAAAGGCAGGCCTGATCTTTACAAAAAATAAAACATTATCTAGGCATGGTGGTGTGCCTCTGTAGTCTCACTTACTGGCGAGGCTGAGGTGGGAGGATTGTGTGAGCCCCGGAGTTCAAGGCTGCAATGAGCTGTGATTGTGCCACTGCACTCCAGCCTGGGTGACAGAGCCAGACCCTGTCTCAAACACAACAACAACAACGGAAAAAGCCCGCAGGCAGCAGATACTTGCCTGAGCTGCGATGCCCATGTTGGTGTTTCTTCTCATCTTATTTGATTGCTGTGAATGGAGTGCATTCACATACTTTGATTACACTCGAGGGTGACTCTTTTAGCTTCCGCATTTCTGCATTTCCTCAGTGTTGTCAATTCCTTTTTTTTTTTTTTTTTTTTTGAGATGGAGTCTCACTTTGTTGCCAGGCTGGAGTGCCGTGGCGCGATCTCGGCTCACTGCAACCTCCGCCTCCCGGTTTCAAGGGATTCTCCTGCCTCAGCCTCCCGAGTAGCTGGGATTACAGGCGCCCACCACCACACCTGGCTAATTTTTGTATTTTTAGTAGAGATAGGGTCTCACCATGTTGGCCAGGTTGGTCTTGAACTCCTGACCTCGTGATCCACCCGCCTCGGCCTCCCAAAGTGCTGGGATTACAAGCGTGAGCCACCATGCCCAGCCCAATTCTTTAAAGATTTTTCTGATGGCTCCTTTTGAGTTACTCCATTCCCTTCCCTCATTGCTGGACATGTACATTATGTCCATGTTACTTTTGTAACATGAGACTGCTCCCATTTTATGAATGGTAAAACTGTGGTGAACATTTTTTGACGACAGTCTGCCTCAGTTTGGCGATAATTTTATATAAGGATGGCTCCCTTCAGTTCTGTTATGAGACTGAAGGAATTCTGTGTGTTAGAATGTTTTGTTCGTGCCTCCTTTTGTGGTACCCATGCCTTTGCCCTGTGGTGAATGTGCGGCTACTAGGAGTTCCGGCTCCCTGAATTTGCTGCTCAGAATGGACCGCAAGCTAGGACACAGGTAACTGCCTTTGTTAACTGTGAGACACCAGCGGCTGGGCTCTGGTGTGCGGGCCTGAGTGCTGCTGCTTGCCACCAAGTGCAGAGGTTCTCGGCAGCTCCCTTGCTTACTTGGCACTTTGCCATTTCGGTGGCTCTTGCTGTCTTCTGTGTGCCTGAGGTTGCTGATCTCTAGCCATCTGGGCTATTCCTGCCTTTGTTTTTTTCCTCATACTGCTCAATTTCCAGAACCAACAAGAGAAACCTCAATTCCAGGCATTGTGTCCTAAAAATGAGAAGTCCTGTCTCCATGGTGAAGGAGATGACACTCCAAGTTATGGAGGCAGAAAGGATCTGCTTCTTCATGGACTCCTGAGAGCCCTTGGGCCAAAGGGAAGCTCTTTGGAAAGAAATTAATGCTTCTCAATCTGCCCCTGCCCCATAGGGATGGGCCCATTGCCCAGTTGAACTCCTTGTGTGGCATCACAGCTGCTGCTACTTTCATTCATGCTGTCGCCCTTGGTGACTCTGAACAGGAGCCAGGGCAAGGGGATTGGGAAGGAGGATGGAGACTGGGCAGCAGCTTCTGGACGTGGGGGTCGAGCTGGGGGCCCTGGGCTAAGTGACCTCACCGCCTGGTGCCTGTTTCCTTGCCTGGAAAAGGAGAATCCAGGTGCCAGCTTGGCAGCTTGTGTGGATCAACTGTGGTAATAGAGGTGAATCAGCCAGCACAGCCCAGGGCACCTGGGATGACTCCAGGTGGAGACACAGGTACCAGCAAGCGTCACGCACCCATTCCACAATGGAGCGCACATCTAGGGGCTGAGGAAAAGCTGGGACAAAAATGTGTGTTGGGGAAACTAGACGGATCCCCGGTATCTCATGAGACGCGGGCGGGCTCGGCAGGGCAGGAAGCCTCTGGCCTTATTGTGTGCACACTTCCCACCGCCCCTGAGCTTGGGCCATTCCGCACACCTCTCTGTGGGCCTCAGTTCTCCCTCTGAGTAGTCAGAGGGGACCTGATGTTCTCTAAGGGTCCTGCCAGCTCTCACACCTGGTGACGACTCTCCTGAGACACGCCTCTGGTCAGATAACCGTTTTCCTTGCAAGGGGACAAGGCTGCATTTTTCTTTTCTTTTTTTTTTTTCTGAGACAGGGTCTCGCTCTGTCACCCAAGCTGGAGTGCAGTGGTGTGATCTTGGCTCCCTGCAACCTCCGCCTCCTCAGCTCAAGCGATCCTCCTGCCTCAGTCTCCCAAGTAGCTGGGACTACAGGTGTGTGCCATCAAGCCCAGCTAATTTTTTTATTTTTTATTTTTATTTTTTGGTAGATGGGGTGTTTTGCCATGTCACCCAGGCTGGTCTTGAACCCCTGGACTCAAGACATCTGCCCACCCTGGCCTCCCAAAGTGCTGGGATTATAGGCATGAGCCACAGTGCTGGGCCAAGGCTGCATTTTCAAGATGCCACCTCTGTCTGTCCTGGAAGCCCTAAAACAGCAGGAGTTGTGGGCTGTGGGTCACCCTGGTGTCCCCGGCACCCAGCACGAGCGGACACCGAGTGGGTGCTCAGGACTGTCTTCTATGGACACTGAACACCCTGGGAAAGGCATTCCCCTCCCCAACTCCAAGGTGAGCTAGCCCCTCCTGCCTAGCAAGCTTCGGGAAGCTCCGAGGTCAGGCTGGAAAAGGTCCCTCAATGCGGTGTCTGAGGAGAGGGGGGGCGTGCTAAGAGTTCTCCAAACATGCTAGATACTGTCATTTAATTTAGACTTGTTTAAACCTCACTACAACTCAACTTGGGAGGTGGAGACGCCATGTTTCTTGTACATATGGGAGGGTTGGGGTGGAGCAGGGGAGGCTTCCTGGAGACTTGAGGAGTTAGCTAGCCTGGGGGCTCCCATGCGTAGGTCCTTTGCCTGGAACGGATGAGGGGGCGCCAAGAGGCCTGGCTTTTGCCCACACTAAGTGATGGCTTTACTTGGGGGAGATAATCCTTCTGGAAACCTCAGGTAGAGTCTGCATGGGGAATGAGATGGCTTCATAGCCAGTTATGATGGGGGTCGACGTCCAAGGACCAGTTTAGCAGCCAGCAGAGCTGAGATCCAGGGCTTACTGCCCTGATCCCGGGATTACCTGCACATCAGAGATGAAGGTGAGGGAGGTGCTAAGAGGTGAAGTGGCCACCCACAGCCACATGGCTAAATCCTGTTCGCCGTGTTCTTAATTTTGTCAGACTCAAGTTGCAATGAAGATTTGTCTAGAGCATGTCTGGGTGCTGAGAGCAACAGGTAAGGCGTGGGTCAAATCACGCTGCGGGTGCAGGTGATGACAGGCTCCGGGAGAGAAGGGGTGGGCACAGCAGGATGGCCAGTGAGGAAAAGGCAGGCAGAGGGCGCCAGGTGCAAATCTGCAGGACCACAGACTTTGGTTCTGGATACAGAACAATGGTTCCTTGTCATTGTAGGGCTTTAGACCCTAAGACTCAGAATTAGGGCTGGAAGGGATTTGGGAGCCCCAAGCAGATCTATTAATCCAACGCATTAAATTGCTAATTAAGTCACGACTGAAGCAGTCTGTACTTTTCCACTAGGGTTTACTTAGAAAAAGCTGGGGAGGCCTTGTTTTAAGAGGTATGAAGGAGGCCTCGTATTATTTTTACTTAAAACCCCCAGAAATTTAAGCATTTATAAAGCTTCTATGATGCAGCACTGCGAGGGATGTTAATGTTTGCTTTCAAGAGATGGCCTTTAAAAATCCCTCTTGCTTCTGCGTCATATCTCATAGATGGTGAGGGTTTTTACAGCCACGAGCTGGAGGGGAGACCCAAGTTCGGGGTTCCCTAGCCCATCCCTAAAGACCGCAGCAGAGACAAATCTTCCATTTCATGCTTCCAGATGCTTCCTGTAATGGGAAAACTCCTCCTGCCCCTGACCTTTCTGAGTGGCTGAGTCTTCCGTTAGATTGGGCTGTAGTCAGTCTCTCCTGGGTTTCCTCTCTGGTAATTTATCTGCCAATGACACCCCTCAGGGCTCCCGGTTGGCAGGAGCCAAAGCCAAGTGGAAATCCAGGCCTTCTGGCTCCCAGCGCTGGGTCTCTCCTCTTGCCCTCAAGTCCCCAGAATCTAAGGACAACCCAATAAACAGTCAAATACCTACTATTTGCCACGTCCAGGGAAAATAGCAGTAAACAAGATAATCCCGGCTTTCCTCATGGAACCCACAGTCTAGAAGGGGAATGAAGACCCAGTGCCCGTCAACAGGGGCTTCTGTCTACCAACTTGTGGAGGGCCCTGGGGCAGGGAACCCGGTTTCTGCCCCTCTCAGCTACTGACCCACCGGGTCCTTGGGCGGAGGGCTTCATCTCTGAGTTCGTTTCTCGCTTTGTACAATGGCTCTGATCATAGATCCCGTCTCTGGAGTTTGTGCAATGTTTTGAGGCCAACTAAGCAGATAACGCCAGGCCAGTGGCTTCCAAATCCGCGTGCACATTACATAGCTTCCCAAACTCATGATGCTTCCATGTCATCTTCAGAGACTGTGACTTAATCGGCCTGGGCTTCGGAATATTAAGAGCTCTGCAGGCAATGCTAAAGTGCAGACCAGTTTGGGAACTACAGCGCCAGGCACCGTGTCACAGCGTGATAAGAGAGAACGTTCGGAAAAGCCCTTTATAGATTGAGACTGAGGCCGGCTGGGAGGACGCCACGGCGCCGCTCCCAAGACCACCGCGGCGGGGCCTGAGCTCCGGTGTCACGCAGACCTTCCCTTCCGCAGCGGGGCCCGGGCCGTCTCCCGCACACCGGCCGGGACATGGGCGCCCCATCGATGCGCTCCGCCGCTCGGCTCCCTACGCCTGAGCCCTGCCCGCTCGAGCCCCTTCCCCCTCCCGGCCGCTTCCCACTTCCAAGATGGCTGCGGGTGCAGCCGACCAGGTAAGGGGTCCCCTGTTGGATGTCCGTCGGGGCTCTGCAGGCACAAAGGCCCGCTCAAGGCAGTCCCTCGCCACTCCGGTTGGCCCTCGGGAGAAAAAAGGGCTGGCGACGCCGCTCCGGAGGCCCGCGG